GGGCTTCAGCAATTCTCTTGCCTCAGCCTCCCAAGTAGCTGGGATCACAGGCGCCCACCACAACGCCCGGCTATGTTTTTGTTGCAGTTGTCACTGTTGTTTAGCAGGCCTGGACCAGGCTTGAACCCACCAGCCTCGATGTATGTGGCCAGCCCCCTACACACTAAGCCTCTTTCTTACTTTTAAAATTGACACAAAATCTTATAACATAAAATTACCATTTAACATGTACAATTCAGTGGCATTCACGGTATAATATGGTGCAACCTCTACCTAGTTCTAAGAAAGTTTTGCCCCCACCCCCAAAAAACCTTGTACCTATCAGGCAATCACTTCCCATTGTCCCTCCTCTTATCCCCTGACAACCACTAATCTTATTTGTTTCCATGGATTTGCCTAATCAGGACATTTTATGTGAATAGAATAATACGATGTGTGACCTTTCACTTGGTGCCACATTTTCCAGGTCTGTCCATGTTGTATCAAACTTACTCCTTGTTTAAAGGCTGAATGTTATTTCATTGTCTGGGTATGAATTGTTTATCCAATCATCAGTTGAGGGGCACCTGGGGTATTTCCACTTCTTGATTATTATAAATAGGACTGTTATGAACCATGTACAGAGGTTTGTCTGAGTAGCTGCAATAGGCTCTTTTCCTAGTGCCATCCTCCTCCTCACTCTTCCATGATAAGGAACAAAGAAGAGAAGGAAATAGAAATAAAATGAATGCTTCAATATAAAATTAGTATTTAAAGTATTGATTAATAACAATAAATATTTAATTTTTTACAAGGCGTCTGTATTTAACACACTTCATCTCATTTATTAATAGCATCCTGACACAGACATTATCACCTGCATTCTACCAATCAGGAAACAGGCTCAGAGGGTTCAATCATTTGCCCATGGTCACACAGCCAAGGAGTGTCAGCCGTCTTTGAAGCCCCAAGTTTTTCTGACCCCACACTATCTTTCCCACCACCTCATTCATGGAGCTGGCAGTGAAGGTAAAATGATAGGAGAGAGAGAGAAAAAAAGATCTCCTTGCAAAGTAATTCCCACAAAACTCTTACCTTGACCAAGCCATGCAGAAGCCAATGGTGAGAAAACCCTGGCTGTATTCACGCCCAGAGAAGGGAAGTATGGGGAGAATCTGGCCTTGCGGTCCATGGAGACTGCTCACCAGAATTACTCTAACCCCCAGCTGGTTGTCTGAGTGGGTAAAGCAGTACCAGCCCTACATCGCATCCTGGCTCAGAAGACCAGCTGCCCCTTGTGCCCACTGGGACTGCACACACTCCACATTCGAGAAAAAACCCGGCACCTAGGAGGGCCTCGTACCTGGCGCTGGCTGCTCGGCACCCGGGTCTCCCGCACGCTCCCTGGAGAGTTCCTGCAGACACTGGTCTTGCTCCTCCTGCAGCACTCGCAGCACGTCACACAGCGGGGGCTCAGCGTCAACCTGCAGACCCCAAACCAAGGCCGCTCATCATTGCCACTAACTCCAACCTACCACATGGGCTTTCTGTGGGCAGGACTGAGGCTGGACAGCAGGGATCTGACTGGCAAGGCAAAGGGCTCCCCAGAAAGGTGGACACAGCCACTCTTGGGAAAGAATTCAGAACACAGCTGGGACAGCTGCAACACTCAAATCAGCTGTAACTTGCCCACTACAAATCTCGATCTTTTTTTTTTTTTTTTTTTTTTTGAGACAGAGCCCCTGGGTAGAGTGTCATGGCATTACAGCTCACAGCAACCTCCAACTCCTGGGCTCAAGCGAGTCTCCTGCCTCCGCCTCCCAAGTAGCTGGGACCACAGGCGCCCGCCACAACGCCCGGCTATTTTTTGGTTGCAGCCGTCATTGTTGTTTGGCGGGTCCAGGCTGGGGATTCGAACCCGCCACCTTAGGTGTACGTGGCTGGCGCCCTAGCCGGTTGAGCTATAGGCGCCGAGCCAAATCTCGCTCTTAAGTTAGGGTGACCAGATGTCCCGCTTTTCAACAATTTGTCTCACGTCCTGTGGTGTTTTTAAAAAATCCCAATTTTTAGAAAGTATGCACTAACGGGCGGGAGAACAAGAAGGGAATATACGGTTTTCAGCTGCCATGTGGCTATTTCGCCAGAATATGAGTTTTATATTATTTTTGTTAATTTTATAATGTTAAACTGTAATAATAACAAATAATTGCTGAGAAGTGATTATCGAGAACTGCTTATCAAAGTTTACATTGTTGTCAGGCCCTGCCCTGCCCAGTCCCCTGCCCCGTCCCCACCCCTCCGGCCATGTTGTCCCGCCTTACCGGTGTTAAAATCTGGTCACCCTATCTTAAGTTTATCATGGCTCCTGAGTTCAATAAACTGTTTGCTTTCTCAAGACCTTACTGTTAGTCTGTGGAACTTACTTTATTTCACTCCATCTGTATGGATGTCTCTGTTTTTAAAAGCTTACTTTTGATTCATACAAGTTTGTTTTGTTTTTCTGAGACAGGGTCTTGCACTGTCCCCTAAATTACAGTGCAGTGGTAATCACCACAGCTCATGGCAACCTCAAATTCCTACAGTCAAGCAATCCTCTTGCCTCAGTCTCCCAAGTAGCTGGGACTACAGGTACCTGCAAGCTACCACACCAAGCTAATTTTTCTAACTTTTTTTGTAAAGAATAGGTTTTGTTCTTGTTTAGGCTGGTTTTGAACTCCTGGCCTCAAGCAATCCTTCCACCTCAGCCTCCAAAATGCTAAGATGACTGGCATGACTGCCATCATGTCTAGTTGATACGTTCTTTAAAATCCGCTCTTAACCATCTCCCAGTTCCAAAAGAACAGTGACTGGGGTAGGGGGCCATGGAAGGCAGGGTGGAGAAGGGGCCAGCACACAGTCCTGGTTTCCTAGCTCTTTCCAGAGTGGACTCTATCACGTGACTCCATTATTTCATGGGTACAATAATATAATGAACGGATGATTGAACAACTGAACAGAGTAATGAAGTGGACCCTTAATTTTCTTAAAAAGTATGGATACAGAATTTTAATATTACCAAGCTCTTTTACATACACCAACTTAATAAGTTCTCACAATAACCTGAGAAAGAGACAGAAAAGGAATCTGTGGCCCATGGTGGTTAGCGGCTATGACCAAGTTCATATACGCAGGGCTCCCATGACGTCCAGGACCAGGTTTCATACCTTCTTTTCAATTGCCCACTAGTGCTTCATAGATGGAAATTTCAACATAATGTAGCAGAAGAAGAATTCCCTGGGGACAAAGGCACTCTCCAAAATGGTACAAATAAACAAAAGCTCCGGGCCACTGAAGGATAGCTAAGGGAGGATACCTATCCCAAAGGACTCCAAAGGCAAACGTGATTGATCTTCTAATTATCTCCTATTTTGGAGCTTCCATAACTTACCACCCTTCATTACTGCACTTAGAATGATTACCAGCCGTCAGAAACAATTCCTCTCCCTCCACCTCCGAGAACCAGCTGGCTAAGGTTTATTATGGTCCCCACAAAACACACCCCACCTCCACTGGCCCAGAACCTGTGATCAGCCACAGCACATTGCTGCAGAATCACCTGGGCCCACCCAGCTCTAGATTATAAAATGCTCATTCCTGCCCCACCCTCAGCCCTAAACTTCTATTTTCTTCTTGACACAATTCAGCAAATGTCTTACTCACATTGTCATTTAGACTCCCACAGTGAAGCAAGTCGTTTCCCTAGGAATATAGCAATTGTCAAGAGAGCTGGTATTGGCACTCAGCCCACACACTCATCCCATGTCCTCTTCTTTGTGGGGTCCCACCGAGCCCTCACTGAAATGTGTAGTCTCTGGCACTCTCTGGCTTTCCGTGGAGGAAACAGAAGAGCTTGAATGAAAAAATCCACTTAATATAAGACAGAGTATAGACAGTTTAACTGTTTCTTCTCATCCATTTTCATCCAACATTTCTTTTCTTTTCTTTTCTTTTCTTTTCTTTTCTTTTTTGAGACAGAGTCTCAACCCTCTGTCATCCTTGGTAGAGTGCTGTAGCATCACAGATCACAGCAATCTCCAACTCATAGGCTTAAGTGATTCTCTTGCCTCAGCCTCCCAAGTCGCTGGGACTACCAGCACCCGCCACTACACCAGGCTATTTTTTGTTGCAGTTGTCATTGTTTAGCTGGCCTGGGCTGGATTTGAACCCATCAGCCTCGGTACATGTGGCCAACACCTTAACCACTGTACTACGGGTGCTGAGCCCAACATTTCTTTTTTAAATAGTAGTAAAATACACATCACACAAAATTTACCACTTTAGTCATTCAAAGTATACAAATTCAATGGCATTAAGTATATTCACAATGTTGTGGAACCATCCCCAATATCCACTGCCAGAATTTTTCTGAAAGACAGAAATTCTGCTCTCTTTTAGCAATAACTCCACAGTCTTCCCGTCCCCCAGTCTCTGGTAATCTCTAGTTGACCTTGTGATTCTATGAATTGTCCTATTCTAGGTACCTCATCATGTTCGTGAAATCATACAATATCACATCCTTTTGCATCTGGCTTAGTAGTTTTCAAGGTTCATCCGTGTTATAGCATGTATCAGAATTTTCTTCCCTTTAACGCTGATTATACTTCCCATTGTATGATATAGTACATTTTGCTTATCAATGGACACTTGGTTTTCGTCCACCTTTTGGCTATTGTGAATAACGCTGCTAATAGCACAAGGCTGTACCAATATCTATTCGAGTCTCTGCTTTCAATTCTTGTGTGTATACGCACCCATACACCCAGAAGCTGAAATGCTGGATTGTATAGTAATATGACATTTAATTATTTTTAAAAACTGCCAAAGTGTTTTCTATAGCGGCTACACCATTTTATATTCTCACCAGCCACGCACAACGGTTCCAATTTCTCTGCATCCTCACCAACACCTGTTATTTTCTTCTTGTTAATGTTGTTTTATAATGGCCATCCCAATGGACATGATTTTGTCATCCCACATCTTTTTGCCCTTTACCTTCCCATTAAAATGTAATAAACGGGTTTGGCGCCTGTGGCTCAAGCGGCTAAGGCGCCAGCCACATACACCTAAGGTGGCAGGTTTGAATCCCCAGCCTGGGCCCGCCAAACAACGATGGCTGCAACCAAAAAATGGCTGGGCATTGTGGCGGGCGCCTGTAGTCCCAGCTACTTGGGAGGCTGAGGCAGGAGACTCGCTTGGGCCCAGGAGTTGGAGGTTGCTGTGAGCTGTGATGCCATGGCACTCTACCCAGGGGGATAGCTTGAGGCTCTGTCTCAAAAATAAAAATAAAAATAAAAAAATAAAAGGTAACAAACAAAGGTAATTTTGTGTGGTGGCCATATGCCAACTAAAGAAATGTGTGGGAGCGGTGCCTGTGGCTCAAAGGAGTAGGGCGCCGGCCCCATATGCTGGAGGTAGCGGGTTCAAACCCAGCCTAGGCCAAAAACTGCAAAAAAAAAAAAAAAGTGTGATGTCCACCAGTGTCTTTGTTACAGGAACAATATTCTGCCAAAAGGACTGAGACCATGGCTTCCAGGTGGTGACTAGCAGGGAAAAAGAAGAATCCACAGGCCGATGGGAGTGGCTGGGAAAAGCAGGTTCATCAACGGAGCAAGCACCTGGAAAACGCCTGGATGGGAGAATGTGAAATGAGCCCCCTTCTTATCAAAATTAACCTACAGAGAGAGGGTGAGAAAAAGCTGATGTTCAGTGGTTATACGTATGTATATTTACACGTGTTTTATATACAAGGTGCCCCCCAAATTGCCCCCAAATTGCCACACATAGGGAAAATGGGATTGTAGTTAAATGTATCTTTGTTTACAAAACATTCATTATGAAATTTTACAAAGAGGCAGCCAACATGTAAAGAATATTTTGTACATTTTTTGTAAAATTTTTAAAGAATATTTTGTAAATAAAGGTACATTTAGCCACAATTTCCCATTTTCCGTATGTATGGTGACTTTAAGGGCAACTTTTGGGATACCCTGCACTTATTAAATCAAAAAGTATTAAATATAATTTTACTTGAAATTCACAGGAAAAACAAGTGAAAATGAAAGAATTGCTGAACTTTACATAAAAAAATTTTCCTCAAAACAAGAGCTATAGTGTTTGTTTTGTTTGTTTTTGAGACAGAGTGTTACTCTGTCGCCCACAGTAGAGTGCTGAGGCATCACAGCTCACAGCAACCTCAAACTCCTGGGCTTAAGAAGCGATTCTC